ACCATTTCTTGCTGTTATGTGGTGCGAACTGAGTAGGCTGAAGACTGGCACCTGTGATAATGGGGACTACTGGAGGAGGCCGAGATGGATCATCCACTCGGCATGTCTGACTTAAGATTGCTGCGAATGCTTCAATCTTATCTTTTGCACTGATGTGCTGGGCTCCCCTGAGGATGGGAATATTTGTGGAGCTCCCTCCTCCAGTGAGTTGTTTAACTGTTCACGACCATTCACGACCAGATGTGGCAGGACTGCCGAGCTTAGAACTGATCTGTTGGTTGTGGAATCACTTAGATCTGGCTATTACTTGCTTCTTATACTGCTTGATACCCAAGTAATCCTGTTTTATAGATACAGCAAGTTGATACCTCATAATCAGATTTGTCTGGTCCTGCTCCTGGCACAGCCTCCTACAATCCTCATTGAACCAGGGCTGATCTTCTGGTTGAGTGTGGGATATGATGGGTCATGAGGTTGCAGATTATATTTAAGGACAATTCTGCTGCTGCTCATGGTCCACAGCAGCTCGTAGAACCCCAGTCTTGAGTTGTTAGATCTGTTTGAAGTCAATCAAACTAAGCATGATTTTGTGGCACGAAACCCTGCTTCCTCTGTGATTGTTGCTCCTCCGTTAATGCTTGCTGTTGCTGCTTTTTCACTGTCCTGCATCTGTTACAACATTGGTGTGGACTCCAACAACAGCACCAAGAAAGGTCTCTGACTGATACATGTCAGCACCGAGACTAATTCTGCAATACTCCTAGGACAACCACCATTGGCTGCTTTTGGGCTTATCATCCTTGGTGCAGCTGCTAATGCAGCTTGGAGAACAGGACAGGAAATTTTAATTTAGTGTTCTGGATAGCTGAAGACAAATAGCCCATGGGGAAGGAAGCAAAACCCCACTAGATACAGGATGAAAGTTGCAGCGTGTTCTTTGCCTCCTTGTGAGCCTGCCTGTGGAGCATTAGGCCTCTGGCTTTGAGGGCCCATGGGCTGGTGCAGAGTGACTGCATCCATGAAGCCTCTATTCATAGCAGGGACAGACTTGCTATAAAACAGCACCGAAGAATTTCCCCAAGTAGTGATTGTCTATCCTCCTTTATGTGCTGATCCAGCAGTGGGAATGTTTTGGGGAAACACCCCAGTGCAATTCCCCATTAATTCTCTTCTGTCTCCCAGCTCACCATATTTAGACCGTTAAAATTCTGCCTACCCACCCGGACCCTCTACAGATGGAATAATATATATATATATATACACACACATACAAAAAAGGAAATTCTTGCCTTTAATGAAGTGTTTTTAATAACCACCAGACATTTTGAAATGCTTTATAGACAATGAAATATTTCTGAAGTGTAATTATTGTTGTAATGTAGGTAAAGTTGTATTTACTTGTAGAAGGATGCTTTGTTCTTTCCTTTACTGGGTCTAAACAACTACTTAATTTACGATGGTTGAAGAACAGCCAGTATTCAGTCTTAATAAGAAGAGGCATCGCATAGTTAATTATTAACATCACGTAGATAATTCCTGGTTCTCAGCTGCATATTAGCAATTAGGTACAGGTTACTTTAGCTAGTCAGGCACTGTGTGACTAAGACAACTGGCATCACAGATGACACTACTGTCTGCTTTAAGATGTATTCTCCTGATTTCCCCATCCAAGACTATGAGGTGTCATCAGAATGAACAGCACTTAATGCAGTCTCTATCATTAACCCGATCAGACCCATTATTTTTCACAATGGGAAACATAGCGCCCAAACTGTATTCAGTAAGTTCCCACAAACTGCAGAGTTACAATGACTAGGTAATGCAATTTTTATAAAGTATATTGAGAAATAAATATTATCCAAGTCACTGGGGATTAGTCCCATGTTCTTCCTTGAAATAGTGCCATGTGATTTGCTGCAACCACCTCAGAGGGCACACAGTGTTATGGTTTAAACTTTCATCTGAAAGATGGCATGTCTGACAGTGCAGTGCTCCCTCAGAATAGCACCAGACATTGCACCGATGTCAAGTATCTTCCAACTCAAAATGAGCAACCAATTGGAATGGAGTGTGGAATTGGTGACTGAGCTGTGCCATTTCTGAATGCAATGTATTCAGTATTATAATGTGACTATGGAGTCATCAATTAAGCAGTATATTTGATACAATTCCAGTATTCATAAGAGTTTTGGAAAATACTCTGAACACTTTGAAAAAAAGTGTTTGAGAGTCCAAATAAAAATTAATATGAATTATTTGTCATTGTGAAACTCACTTTTTGTAATCAACACACTTAGAAAGATGTACTCAGCTATGGTTTTATTTGTTAAAGCAATGGGTTTCCACTTCTCTATGCATTGGCCACTTAAATGGAAGATTAAATGACATGTTAGCAAATACAGAAGTTGAATTTCACCCTTTAGGGAAACAAATATAAAATCAAAGATGTAATCATCTGCTTACAGTAGAAGCACTGTGAAAACATTCTAACATCTTTCACTTGGTTGAACTGAACTTTGCTGAAAGGAGAGACATGTTGCCAAAGCTTTTCATCAGCAGAAATTCAAAAATGCCAAATTTCAAATGATCACAGCAATTTATACTACAGGGGTAAAGGGTGCTAAGTGGTTAGCAAATCATCTATGATTGGCAAAACATTGCTATGGAGAAAGCAGCAGGGTGCTGTAGGCTCCACACGTTTCTGTCTAATTAATAAATGGTGCAAGGCTTGAATTTGTTTCTTTTGTTTGCACAGAAGAGGTCCTTGCATAGAAATGTATGTCACCTCTAACAAACATAATTCAGCTGTGTTATGAACTCAACTGATTCTCTTAAATTTCTTGCTCCTCTTCTTTTTTATTCTTCCATGGGATGTGAGCATTCCCACTTGTCCATCTGTCAATGCTGGTCTCCACTGTCTCCCAGTTCCCTAACTTCTCCAAATCTTTGGAGCAATCTCAAAATGCAGTATTTAGTATTACATGGTGTGGTCAAGGCAAATAGTATAGATGTGTTTACAAGCTAGCTGGATAATTATTTGAGATGGACAAGGAAGAAGAATACTGACTGGCCAAGATGTGGTAAGGCTTATATGAAGCATGAATGCTGAAAGGTTTATCTTTTGAAAGTTGTTTTCTGAACTATTCCACCTCATTCTTTCCATTAGATTCTCTAAGCAGTCAGCACTTACTGTCATTCTATGGCAGTGTAGTTAATAGCAATGGTAACATTATTGAAATGCCTGAGTTCGCATATATAGCTATGGTGCTATGTGGTGAACCAGTCCTATGCAGAATCTGGGAGACAGCAAGGCTTGTAAATGCTGGATATCAGAGTTGATAAAACGTGGAGCTGGAGGAGTACTGCAGGTCATACAGCATCCGAAGAGCAGGAAAGTTGACATTTTGGGTCGGGATACTTCATCAGGACTCAGAATCTGCATTTTTTACAAATAGAGTAGATTTTATAAATAGAACTAATGAAATAGAGACATACCTGTACAATGTTTTGCAGCAGCTGCATTAAATCATGAACAAGCACACTTTGTAGGCTGTCAAGAACATGTTAAACCTAGAAATTCACCTTGCAATCAATACTGTAATAATATATGACTACAAATTTTAGTGTTACACTGGCGCTTAGAGACTGTTTTAAGAATTCTTTTAAAGAACTTATGGTGCAAACAAACCAGATTGAGGTAGAGGTAGAGAAACTGCAGATGCTGGAGAAACTGAGATAACAAGGTGGAGAGCTGGATGAACACAGCAGGCCAAATAGCATCAGAGGAGCAGGAAGGCTGACGATTCGGACCTAGACCCTTCCTGCTCCTCTGATGCTGCTTGGCCTGCTGTGTTCATCCAGCTCTACACCAGATTGAGGTAGCCTCCTTCTCAGGTTCCATACCCATTAGTTCTATAGTGAAGTGCTTTATTAGAACTTAAGTGAAACTCTCTAGTTACTTCAGAAATAGTAATTAGTGATCCAGGTAGCCAGTTTGGTCATTCTTTAAATTCAGTGGAGATTGCCCTTTGTTAAGGCTGAAATATTGTTCTTCACCACTAGATGGTAGAACTGCATCACAAATATTGAAGCACCTTTCATTAGTGGAAAGAACTTGAACAATCTTTTTGTTTTGCTTTTGTTTACAAGTTCAGGATAACTCAATGCATTTTCCATTCAAAAAGTACATTCGAAGTACAGATATTGGTGTAGTTTAGGGAAGTACAGCAGCTGATTTGTACATAGCAAGGTTGCAAAAATAGCTAATGCAAAGAATGCTGAGTTCTTTTGTTTGTGTAATTCTCAGATATTGAAGCAATCCACTTCTATTTGCAGCAAGACCTGGACAATACTCAGGCTTGAGCTTATAAA